CTTGCAGACGTTTCATGACCCAACTAGGGAACATCATCAGTGCTAGAAGGGAGGGGGGTTTGTGGAGAGGAGGAGGAGGAGGAGGAGGAGAAGGAGGAGGAGGAGGAAAAAGACGGTGGGGTCTCTCTGAGCTGGGTGGTTTTCTTGCAGACGTTTCATGACCCAACTAGGGAACATCATCAGTGCTAGAAGGGAGGGGGGTTTGTGGAGAGGAAGAGGAGGAGGGGGAGGAGGAGGAGGAGAACAACGGTGGGGTCCCTGGTGCTCTCTGAGCTTAGTTGTTTACTTGCAGACATTTCATGACCCAACTAGGTAACGTCATGAGTGCTGGGGGGGGTGTGTGTCTGTGGAGTGGAGGAGGAGGGGGGAGGAAATGGACTAAGGGGTCCCGGGTGCTCTCTGAGCTTGGTGGATTTCTTGCAGATGTTTCACGACCCAGCTAGATAGCATCATCAGCACTAGAAGGGACTAAGCAAACCCTACTCCCCTCCTAGCACTGATGACGTTACCTAGTTGGGTCCTGAAACGTCTGCAAGAAGACCACCCAGCTCAGAGAGCACCAGGGACCCCACAGGAGGAGGATAGCTGGATAATATCAAAACTTAAGATGAGCTGGAACCCAGGTGAGGCTTGTTCTGAACACTCGTCCTTTGTTGCTTGCTTCACCTGGGCTTCCGTTGTTGTTGTTGTTGTGTTTTCTCGTTTCAGGGGAAATTTATAGCCACGTTCAAATATAGCGGCTTCCACTACGGGCTGAGCCGGGAGGTCATTGAAAGCATTGCGAGGGAGGGGCTGGCCACCTGCGTCCATTTGGAAATAGAGGTAGGAAGCCCCCCTGGCTGCAGCAGCATTGTCGGGGCTGTGAGATTTGTGTACTTGGGTTTAAGCTCTGCTCTGACCCGGGGGAAGCAGGGAGGTCTGCAGAAGAGACCAGAGAACAGAGAGGCCGCAAGTAAGAAACCTGTGGGGCAGGGAGGGAAAGGATTGGGGGAGAAAGGGGGCAGAGGGGCTGGAAGGCTGAGCAAACACCCGTGAAGCTCATCGGAAGGCAGCTTTGAGATGGGTGGACTTCAACTCCCAGAATTCCCCAGCCGGCATGCTTTAAGATGGGTGGACGTCCGAAATGCTTTAAGATGGGTGGACTTCAACTCCCAGAATTCCCCAGGCAGCCTGTTTTAAAATGGGTGGACTTCAGCTCCCAGAATCCCTCAGTCAGCAGGCTTTGAGATGGGTGGACTTCAGCTCCCAGAATCCCCCATCCAAAATTCTATAAGATGGGTGGACTTCAACTCCCAGAATCCCTCAGCCAGCATGCTTTAAGATGGATGGACATCAGCTCCCAGAATCCCCCAGGCAGCATGCTGTAAAATGGGTGGACTTCAACTCCCAGAATCCCCCAGTCAGCATGCTTTAAGACGGGTGAACTTCAACTCCCAGAATCCCCCATCCCAAAATGCTTTAAGAGATGTAGACTTCAAATTTCCAGAATGCTGGCCAGGGAATTCCAGGAGCCGAAGTGTTCAAGACTCTTCCGCCAAGCCCTGAAAACTCATCTGTTCCATGCAGCTGGCCTGGCGTAGTTTTGATTGGGCTTTGTTAGGGGTTTTATATTTTAGAGCAGGCTTTTATGTAATATTTACTGTGATTTTTATTATTGCCTGTTCACCTCCCTGAGTCCTGTAAGGCAGATAGGGCGGTATATAAATTTAAATAATAAGAATAAGAATAAAAAACGCCGCCTAAAGAAGATGGCTTTCCGAGATTGACAGGCTTTTGGATGTGGCTCAGCCACATGGTTTGGGGAACCCGAACAAAGCACCCCCTTTTTTTCCCCTTTTTTATTTTTTAATCTGATGCCTTTCTGCATTGAGTCGGTCCTTGGAGTTATTTGGTACCCGAAGCGCCAGCGACTCTCAAACAGCTAAACTGCCTCTCTCTCTCTCTCTCTAAGGGGGTCCGAAGTTTGAAGAATTCCTACTTCGAGCCACGATACATCCTGCTCATCCCAGTGAACAAGGAGAAATACGGGGGTCACCTCCGAAGGATGGGCTTGTTCAGCAGACCGGAGATCGAGGAAGCCCTCCGGAGGGTGGACATGTACACCCGGATGAACCAGGATTTCCCCGGCTTTTTCGATGCCGCCATCAACGTAGGTCCGTCTCTGACTTTACAAACTAGGTTTAGAATCCCGCGAATCAACAACTTGCGGTTAAGAGCTGGGTGGATTTCTCTCTCTCCAGCAGCCCTCAACCCACAACGGTTCATTTAGTGACCGTTCGGAGTTAACAAAAAAAAAACGGCGCTGGGAAAATGGACTTACGACCGTTTTTCACACTTACGACCATTGCAGCCGTCCCCAGCGTCGTCACGTGCCCAAAATTTGGACGCTTGGCAGCCGGTTCCTATTTACGACGGTCGCAGCGTCCCCGGGGTCCTGTGATCCCCTTTTCCGAAGCAATGGGGAAGCTAGATTCACTTTACAACCGTGTTATTAACTTAACAACGGCGGTGGTTTGCTTAGCAAAGGTGGCGAGGAACGTCGTAAAATGGGGCAAAGCTCACTTAACCAGTGTTTCACTTAGCGACCTAAATTTGGGGCACCATTGAGGTCGTAAGTCGAGGACTCCCCTGCTGGAGCAGGGGGCTGGGCTAGAAGACCTCCAAGGTCCCTTCCAGCTCTATTCTGATTCTAGGACTGGCTGTAAGTCACTTTTTCCAGCGCCGTTGTAACACCTGTCACTAAACAAGCGGTCGTAAGTGGAGGATTGCTTACATGCATGACCAGAACGTTCCGGGCCACCAGCGGCTGCAGCTTCTCCCACCCCTTTGCCAAAGCTCTTTCCTTCTCCTTCAAACCCCTCCAGATGATTATGATGAGGCCTTCTCCAAACTTAGCGGTCTCGTGGAGGAGTTCCTGGGGCTGGTGCCGACGTCCGAATCCAAAGCCGCGGTTCCTGCGGTGGGCGGCAAAGACCCTTCAGGTATCAGATAAGGCTGAACCCCACAACCCTTTAATTTCTTGGGAAGCAGAAAGTCTCACGAGGAAAAGAAGCTGGGAGCAAGGAGCCCACTTCATCACCTCGCTCAGGGGTCTTCCAACTTGGCCCTTTGATGACTTGTGGACTTCAAGTCCCAGAATTCCTCAGCCAGCCTCCATTTTGTTTGTTAGATTTAAGACCGGGGTCTTCAAACTTGGCCCTTTGATGACTTGTGGACTTCAACTCCCAGAATTCCTCAGCCAGCCTCCATTTTGTTTGTCAGATTTAAGATAGGGGGTCTTCAAACCTGGCCCTTTTGGACTTGCGGACTTCAACTCCCAGAATTCCTCAGCCAGCCTCCATTTTGTGTGTTAGATTTAAGACAGGGGTCCTCAAACGTGGCCCTTTGATGACTTGCGGACTTCAATTCCCAGAATTCCTCAGCCAGCCTCCATTTTGTTTGTTAGATTTAAGACAGGGGTCTTCAAACTTGGCCCTTTGATGACTTGTGGACTTCAACTCCCAGAATTCCTCAGCCAGCCTCCATTTTGTTTGTTAGATTTAAGACGGGGGTCTTCAAACGTGGCCCTTTGATGACTTGTGGACTTCAACTCCCAGAATTCCTCAGCCAGCCTCCATTTTGTTTGTTAGATTTAAGACCAGGGGTCTTCAAACTTGGCCCTTTTATGACTTGCGGACTTCAACTCCCAGAATTCCTCAGTCAGCCTCCATTTTGTTTGTTAGATTTAACA